TAATACACAGGGTGTTGCATTTGAAAAAATTGAGCAAAGTGAACTTAAAATTAACCATATTTAAGACATGTTTCAAAACACTCTGTATAAAATATTCCAGACCTATCTATCACCAATATTCGTTTGCTTACTATTTTATGAGTCTGTATATCAAACAATTTTAAACTCAATGTAAACCTACCTTAATTATGTAAATTTAATAAAAAATTAATTGCTTGGCAAACCTGTAATATTAAAAAAATTTAGGGTTGATTACAATGTTACCAAACCATTCTTAAACTGTAATAAAATACAATTTCAAAAATAACCATTTTTATTTGTCAGACAAAAACGCAACACCTTGCAATTCAAAAATATTTTTAAAATGCATATAACTTTTATTTATTCCTTAATTACGCATTAATGAAACACCCTGTATATTTTGTAGTTTAGCAAATTTCAGGGTATATTTCATATGGAGGGTTTTTTCACAAAATATTCACATTTAACATAATACCAAGAGCTTGAGTATTTACCTACTTAGGTAATGATTAAGGCCATTAAAGGTATTGATATTTCCACATATAAAGTACCTACAATAAAAAAAAAAAAAATTCCCAGTAATTTCTTCAAAATAATGTACCTAATGATCATGAAATATTTTGGATATTAGAGTGTAATTTTAATATGACTTCATTGTACTCCAAAAATCATCATACTGGACCACCTGACGATTTTTTTTTATCAATTTTTTAATACACTGGAAGATTTCCTTCAAGGGCCTTATTACAGTCAACGATTCTATCGATATTAACAATCTAAATCGACAGTATCTACGTTCTTGAGATAAATTTAAGACTATCTAAAAAAATCTGCTAACTTACAGCTAGCAGAGTTAGACAATTTTGTATATCAGTACTTTTTGTAACAGTTATGCTATAACTATTACACGTTTTTGATAAATTACTTAGCATGGTAAGTGGTATTTACAATTTTAATTTGAAGAACATTATTGTTTCCAAACTGAAAGAATTGTTAGTCAAAATGATTTGGAAATTTGACAATACTGCAACAATTTTTGGCCGGTGCATGTTTTTATTCAGTTGAAATTTTGTAAAAAATAAAACTAGAACTTTATATTTGACATATTGTAACTTGTAAACTAACGTTTTTACAAAAAAAAAATTATCCGATCAATAATTAGCGTCATATTATAAAAAAAACTATTTTTAGTCCTATAAAAAGGCGTCTGTAAAAGTATGTAAAGTTCTACAAGAAATAATATTTGTTGTAACTCGTAAACGGTTAGTGCTATTAAAATGAATCTTTCAGCATTCTGTAGATAATTTTGTAATGATCAAAAAATGTTATAACCATTTTTGTCATAACATTGACAGTTTACGAAATAACTTGAAAAATCTCCCACAAAATTTTAATTTAAAAACAACGAAATAAAACATGCACCAGCCATTTTACTATAATTCTGACAAACCTTGTTTTGAATTCGAATGACAGTAACCATTCAAATAACTGTTTTGAACGTATTAACACAAGAAACGACTTATTGTCATATCTATATGAGACAGTAATTTTTTAGGTAATCATCAGTACCTTCTTCTAAGATCTTACCCTGATCTCTCTAAATTACAAAATGCCTAAATTAACCAAAAAATATTCACACAAATTTATACAATTGAATCTACTTCGGGCGTCAGAACTGTTTGACTTTGATTTTTTTCCCACTAAACATTTTATAATATGTGGGAAAACAAAGTTAATTATAAAAGTTGTAAGATTGAAAATTAGCATGCAATGTACCTGTGAAGAGATATTTAGCAAAAACAATTAAAAAAATTACCATGTAGAGAAAATGAGGGTAATTCGGAATACTGTTCGTAATGTGGAATACTTAATTGCTGGAATGCGTGGCGCCACCTCGTTAAATATGGCATAAACCACTAGCTTAGCATGCGTTTAGTGGACAACTGCTTTTCTAGTTACTGTAATAATCAGAGATTTCAAAGAAATAACTTTTAAGAAAAAAGGGATACCCAGTATAGTTAAAATTCGTTTTATCAGATATATTTCAAAACAATTTTTATGTAAGGTAATAAGACGTGGTTTTACAGGCATGTGCAAAAATGCTAAGTCAGGAGTTTAATGAAATACAATGTATTTCTCAATGTTAGAACGGAAGCTGGTATCATATTTGTTTATATAGAGACGCGATTATATTTTATAACCGACATACAAGGCATCTTGCTGACACAGAAAAAATCGGGAACCATCTTTGAGCTTTGTTTCAAAGGGGGCGTGGAAATACACGTATGACCATTATGACTGGACATAAAAATTATAAACATTAATTGAAATGCCTCTTTTGTAAAGCGGCCATAATTACAAAGGCGTACCAAAATATTTCCCAACAAAAAAAAATTGTAACGAAGGCAGTCGGGGTTAGCTCATCGCGGGGGAACGACTCAAAACAGGTCTCACGGGGTCATATAATTAATTTTAGTTTTTTTGGTTTTTTTTAAAGAAATTTCGCGGCGCGAACGGTGATTGTGTAGTTTTATACCGGTTAATCAATAGTGTTCACCGACCAGGCGAATCCGGGGACGATCACCTAATACAGGTGTGATTAGCCGTCAACCCTCAAGATAATAGGGGTAAGTCCAATGAGACAGTAATTAATCTTGATACTTGAAGTTATATGGTATTAACTTGTAGCCTGATATATTTGGATAAGCTATTATAATGCTCTCTCCTTTTTATAATTTATAAATAACAAACGGGAATTCACTGGGTTTATGACCTGCCACTGTCAGGAATCCCGCTCCCGAAATTCCCGGCGATAAAACTCCGCGACGATAGTGAAGTTAGGTTAGGTTGAGTCAGGTGAAACTCGGTTGAGCTTAGAATTATTGAGGTCAGGTTACGGTTGGGGTCAGCTAACGTTGGCTAAGGTTTGTTAGGTTCGGTGCGGTTAAGGCTAGGTTAGATTGGGTGAGTCCAGCTTCTGTTACGGTTAAGTACGTGAAGTTAGATTAAGTTTAAGTGAAGTGAGGTTAGGTTGGATGTACGTGGTTAACTCCCGTTACGGTTAGGTTGGGTTTAAATGGTCACGGTTAGGGTTAAACCGCCGGATCCGATCTAACCAATTCGTTTCGACTGGCTCGGTTTGATCGGACTGGTTAACCGGATAATCCGACCGGTTTACCAGATAATCTGACCGGTTAACTGGATAATCTGACCGGTCGACCGGATAATCAAACCAGTTAATCGGTGATCTGGACCGGTTAACCAGATAATTGGATCGGTTAACCGGATATCCGGACCGGTTATAATAATAGTAAAAATCCAGTTAAAACCGAAACTGGTCAAAATCAGACGAACCGGTTAACCGTTTATGACGTCAGGAATTGACAGCCTTACTTTATAGTCATATTATAATGAGGAGGTACACATATGGCTTCGTGAAAATAATAGGCCCTTAACTGCATATGACACTGTCGAATTGTTTGGATAAGCGTATCGCAAGCTTCAAATCGACAAAATAGCTGCCAACGGTTTTAAAATAGGTGGTATCACCCTTTTGACAAACATGCCTTTAGTGAAGCAGATTACCTTGCTGCAGAACAGAAGGAATAATTACAAAAACGCCACTGTTCACCAATTAAACCATAGTGACATGTTATCCGTAGATGAAGCTGTATCCTCAGTAAACGAAGGTGACCAAAAGTCATGCAATGAAGCAGAGCCCGAAGCTGAAGTCTACAGAATAAGGAATATCGAGTCCCTCTTCAAAAAGCATTTCAACAGAATCAGGAATACAACAGTTAGCAAGTAGCTCTGGTTTGTGTGCGACGCCATCTGATATTTCACCAGTGTCATTACCAAAGAAGCGAAATTCCAATAGAGGTCAAAAAGCAACAAAATCAACAATAGTCTCTAGTTCTCCATACAAAAGAGATCTTGAAGAGGCTGCAAAGAAAAAACCACCAAATAAGGTGGCCAAATTAACTTTGAGTAAGACTATGAAGAAAGTTAAACAAGTAGGAAAAATGGGAAAAGGAAAAAGAAAGCAAAAATCAGAGGACATACAAACAGATAGTGAGTCTAATGCAAGTTTCAATATTTCCACTTCCTCAGAAGAACTTGTCCCGGAATTTGATTTAGATATAAAGCCAGAAGATCAGGAGATTGTATGTTTCTTTTTCTGCGATGGGAAATTTAGTGGAGATCAGTGAGTTCAGTGCCTCACATGTGATTGTGCCGGATATGACGCCGAAGCATATGTGTGCGACTTCTGTAAATAATCTACCTAATTTTCCCTTTTAATAAATGTTAGGTTACTACTTCAACAATGTTTCATTTACCTTTTTAATAAAAAAGCATGTGCTGCTATTTTGGAATATTCCAAATTGGTGTTATTCCAAATTAATTGCATGACAGAGATTTTTGATACTTATTTTTCATTAGTGACCAAATAGTTTTAAATTAATTTAAATGTTTTGAAATTTTCGTATGGCGTAGATCCAAGACATGTTAATTATTTTAATCCAAATATTCGATATTTAAATTTTTTGCAAATTTCTTGCAACTACTATTCCTAATTTCCCTCATTTCATATAACAAAAAAATTTTAAAATAAAAAAATAGGATAGAATAATAATTCTTGAGCTGTTTAACAAAACGCGTTCATCAAAATTTCTCTTTAGTTCTGGCGCAAGGAGTATCTACAAAAACTAAAACCTAAAAAAAACAAACACGAAGTGAGTATGCAAGACCCTTCACATTTATACAACTCTTCAATAAATAAATATTTAACAAAAAATAAAATAAAACTTAGTAGACTGTACAAAAGTGTCCCAACTTGGCACTGTCGAAGACTAGAGAGCTGTGACCATGTCGCGTGGCCCCCAGGCGGTCACTCAAATGGGTCCATAGTTGCTCAACGAAGGTCCGGAACCTTGTGGTTGATGGTTCAGCAGCACGGGAGCTGCTCCCTCACCCGCTTGTCATACGTGACTAAGCGGTGGCTGCTTCAGAACGTGATGGTGCAAATGGTGTTGGCTAGCCGAGGCTACGCTACCGGTGGGTCCCAGCAGCGAAGCGCTACCAGGCCCAGCCATCAGGAACCCCGGAGGTGGAGGTTTACTGCGGTTCTTTATCAACGATGCGTTGGCTCCTGATAGATCTGATCTTCCAACTATTCTTCTAGACAACCGCCTCCAGGAATCCACAGTTTTTCCAGACCAAATCCAGACGCCTGAAGTTATACCGACGGCTAAAGCCATGAAGTATTTGAGCATTAAGACTGAATATATAGGGCGTTCTTTCATTGATATCATATTGGATGGACAAGTGCAAGCCAAGCTTCGCATCCATTCTTCGTGGAAGGTACTCTCGTATAAATGGCATCCAATTACTATCGTGGCTGGTACCGTATATAGCACGCTGAAAATACCTATACGTATCATCAATTTTTCTAATTTATCTGCTTTGGAACCAGCACCAGCACCACCCTGTTTCTTAATTACGTTCCTAATTCTAAATAGAGATACGAACCCAGCCATTAAGAAGCTAGTACCGAGAATTAGATAGATTACCAAAGGTCCTAGTACGAAAGTTTTTAAATTATCCATATTCATGTTGCCGACGTAACAAATTCCTGATACAGGATCTCCGTCGACAGCTCCAGATAGCAGTACTGCTAAAGTTTGAAAGGTAGGTATCAACCAGGCTGCTATATGGAAATATTGAGCATAACTAGCGATAGCTTCGTTTCCCCATTTCAATCCAGCTGCTAGGAACCACGTTAGCGATAAAACAACCCACCAGATTGACGAAGCCATACCGAAAAAGTATACCAGTAGGAATACCGTTGTGCAAATACTTGGACCCGTTGATGAATAACGTATTATCTTCCCTTCGCAAGCCACTGCATCATGTCCGAAGCCTACTCGCAGTAAGTAACCGACCGATACCAAGAAGTAGCACGCAGATAGGAAGACAATCGGCCTCTCAGGGTATTTGAACCTTTCTGTTTCGATGAAGAACGTGGTGAGAGTCATTAAAGTGGAGGCGGCGCACAGACCCGACCACAGCGTTATCCATATGGTGGCGAACTCTTTTTCGTCTGGGTTGAAGTAGGTTTCCTTGCACGGGTATGCACAATTTGCGATGCCTGCGACGCTTCTGTTTGTGACCGGTGGAATTTCTCTCCCCATGGAAACGAGCGGTGGTTGACACTGGCATTTGCACTCTTTTCTTTTTGGGTCTCCTTGGGGAATTGTGCAGTTTTTTGAACCGTTCTTGCATGGTTTAAGTGGTTTGCGATTAGTACTAGGTTTGGTGGTCGATGAAGCGTTGCTTTGTGCCGGTTGGTCCATACAGAGAATTTCGCCATCTTGTACTGGAAAATTTTCGCATTCCAGCCGTTCGGGCCATTTGAAGCCGTACTGTGTCATTATAGGCTCACAACCAGCTCTTGCTCTGTAACACAATCCTCTGCATGGAGGCAACGGTTTGAGGAAGTCCTCCAAACAAATCGGAGCGTACATCGAGCAAAGGAAGAATTTCAGATCTGGAGAGCAACGTATCTCTACCAAAGGCCAAAATTGGTGTACCTCCAAACCGGCCTCTTCTTGGCTTTCGTGGTTAAGTTCGTTTGGCATCCTGGTGTTATTGTAGCCTATGCCGAGACACATGGGTATCGTAATTTCTTCGCATCGACCTTCGAGGTCCGATGATATGACCGATGAGCTGGCCAGACTTGATAGAGTTGCGAAGATGCTGCTGAGGAATACCACGAGGATTGGGCTCGTGGTTTTCATGATTGCGGTGTTTGCATCCACTTTCAGACTGTTTTTTCTTGATTGTTTTCGACTGGTTTAGAAGACTAGTGAATAAGGTCAGTCTTTGGTTGCATGTTGATGATTTTACGTGCTTGTGGTGTTGTCCATGTCAATCTGTAACAAAAGAAAAATACAATTAGTGTATTAGATAACTATAATTTATAAAGATACATAGTAATAACGAACTTTTATGCTTGTTTAGAGATATCTAAACATTAACAGAAAATAAAAAAGATTGGGGTTCTAAAACTGAGCTTTACGAAATTCAAATATTGCTGTGAATTCTCAGCTTTACAAAAGCAATGAGGAGCTTTCTGAATCGGCTAACTGTCTGCCGTGATTGGACAAACTGATATACCTCTACCACTAGTGGGTTGGCGCGTATTGTTCTACCTCTCTCCAAAAAATAGTATCGCTTATTATATACCGTTTTTCTAGCGTCATTTTAAACTTAACATACTGTATATGTTCGTAAAATTAAAAAAATATTTATATAATTTTTCACCTACTGTTAAATCATCATTCAAAAAATCGAATGAACCTATTATCCCAGTAAATCAGCCAAAATATTCAGATGTTATAAAAAAGAGGAAATGGAGGAATTCTTATTGGCTGTAAAAGTAAGGAAGATAACACGAAAATGACCGATATTATGGCTAAAAAATTATTTAAGAAAGTCCTACGAAATTCGTGAAGTATCTGAGGTAAATCCTAGATTTCGTCTTGTTGGAATGTCTGCAAAGTTCGAGAAGGACGACCTTATTAACCTAAAAAATATAGAAATAAAATAAACGCATTATTAAAAAAAACAAAAAAAGAATACTATCAAAAACAAATGGATGAAGCCGGTAACGACTCAAAAAAAATTTGGAAAGTTATTAATAACAATAACATCTCAGGACGTGCAAAAAATACTAATAAAATAGATATAATACCGATTACTAATAAAAATAATGTAATACTAAATGGTAATAAAGAAAAAGCAAACGAGTTTAATAGATTTTTTTCAAACCTCGGAAACGAAATGGCAAATAAAATACCCACAACAAACTTACCAGATAATTTTATCAGTAATGATCAAATCAATTCGAGTATATTTCTACGGCCAATATCAAAAAATGAAGTAACTATTTTTATTTCGAATTTAAAAAATAATTGTGCACCAGGTCCAGATAAATTAGAAGTAAAAACAATAAAAAGCATCCATGAATATATTGTTTCTCCTCTAACACATATTATTAACCTATGTTTTCAGACTGGAAAAATTCCCCATCAATGGAAGCAATCTATTGTTACCCCTATATTTAAATCAGGGGATTCCAGCAGAGTAAATAATTATAGACCTATTTCATTAATAAACAATATAGCAAAAATATTTGAAAAGGCACTGAAGGCGAGGCTAACTGCTTTCTTTCAAACTCACGGCATTATCTCCAGCTATCAACATGGTTTTATAGAAAATTCAAGTACTGAAACTGCAATTATAGATCTTATGAGAAAAGTAGTCGGTGCCCTGGATGAATCATTGGCATGCACTGCTGTATTCCTTGATTTAGCCAAGGCATTTGATACAGTCTCTCATGAAATACTTCTAAACAAACTAGAAGACTATGGAATTCGGGGCGTGGCGCTTAAACTTATATCTGATTACTTATATAATCGTGTTCAAAGAGTAAGGATTGGTTCTGAATTTAGCTGCGAATCAATTATTAAAGTGGGTGTTCCACAGGGAACAGTCTTGGGTCCCTTGTTGTTTCTTGTTTACATGAATAGTATAACAAAAATTAATAATTTTCAAGGTCATCTTGTGTGTTATGCCGATGATACAGCCATAATTTTCACCGGAAAAATGTGGGAAGACGTACATCGCAAAACAGAAGCTACATTAACTAAGGTGACACTATGGTTAAACTATAACAAACTAACATTAAATATTAAAAAAACAAAATTTATTGCTTTCAGCCCGACTGCTACAAATCAGCCAATTAACTTACCGATTAAACTACACAACCCAAACTGCGAGCTAAACAATTGCATATGTCCCACTATTGAAAAAGTCGCTTCCATAAAATATTTAGGTGTTATACTAGACCAATATATACGTTGGACAGAGCATATCACTCATGTTAGTAATCGAATAAGGGCTCTAATGCATACATTTTATGTACTTCGCGATATTCTCTCTAAGACAAAAATAATCATGACATATTCTACATTAGTGGAATCTGTTTTAAGATACTGTATTACGGCATGGGGAGGGGCTTTTAACACTACACTAAATACTCTGCAAGTAACACAAAACACAATTTTGAAAATAATATTAAAAAAAGATAAATTATTCACTACCATACGATTATATAATGAAAACGAAATCCTCAACATTAAATCACTCTTTATCTACCAATGTATCATAAAAGTATATAATAGCCCTGAACTATTTCAATATAAACAAACTCGATTGACTCGCTATACTACAAATATGGACCTTTCTACTCAACTTTTTAAAAAATCTCTAACCCAAAGATCCTTCTTTTACTTTGGTCCCAAGTTCTACAATCTAATCCCCATACATCTCAAACAAAAAAGTAAACTATCTATATTCAAACAAAATATTAAAAAATATATAATAGATAACCAAATCACATTTACTGCTATAATGTTGTAAGCTATACCTGATTTAAAATTGAAATTTGTTGTTAACTATTTGTATTAAATGTTGGAATAACTCCTGGATAACCCTCGTCTGCTTCGCTCTGCATATGTACTCAATCTAAAAAAAAATTTTGTATCCTACTTATTTTTATACCTACTGAGGCACTAAAATATAAAATGTACGTTTTATTTCAAATCTTTTAGAATCAGCACAAGCAACACAGGCAGCTTTTGCTTAGGCTTGTTGCTAATTCTAGATTTTTTGTAATCTATATTAATCTTAAAATATTATTATTATTATTTGTACTTTATTACTATTTGAATTTGAATAAATTGAAATTGAAATGAAAAAAAAAAAAAAAAAAAAAAAAAATTCAAAAAGGTAATCCTAAAGTATTTGTGGAAGATGCAGAGTCATATCAACTAAGAAAAATGATGCAATATTTTAAGCTGTGATTGAAACTGATAAGATAACTTATAAGAAAGTGATAGGGACTGGTATGTTATTTGTTGGATATGATTCCTGTAAAGTATATGAGGCAATTGAGGTGTACCGCTGTTATAAATATAATGATTATTACCATAGTTCTAAAAACAGTTCTAGAGATATTAGCTGTTCTCTTTGTGGTGGTAATCACGATGTTAAAAGCTGCACATCTCAGCTACGTAACTGCACTAATTGTTGTAAACATAATACTAGTCTTAAATTAAATGTACCTGTCGATCATGCAGTGAGGGAAAAAGAAAAGTACATCGCATACCAAGAAGCCTTAGAAAAATTAAAACAAGATTTTTCTCTGTAATTTGTAACTTTTCGAAGGTGTTCGACGTTTTATTGTATCGAGATATTGATTTGCACGTCAGCTGTAAAATTTCATCACATCAACATGGTTTTGTACAACAACGTTCAACGCTAACTAATCTAAACGGACGTCGTATACACAGATTTTACTAAGGCATTTGACACATTGGATCACGGAACCTTGCTCACTAAATTAAAATTATTCGGATCTCATGATTCCCTCCTAAAACTATTTACATCTTATGTTTAAAGCCGTATACATAAATGGCTTCAAATCAGTTGAAAAATTGATAGTGTATACCCTGCGATCGGAACGTCTCATAATTCTCTTTTGCAAGGACATGCAGTTAATAACTTATCAGACTGCCGTTCTTGTAACTCAGTGCTACTTATATTTAAGTTACTGACTGATAAAATTGATGATTCCGCCATATTAGAATGGATTAAATTTCATGTTCCTCGATTTTCGGCAAGGTTTGCATGCACTTTTTACCTTCCATTGCCTAAAACAAATGTATTTAAAAGCTCTCCCATTTATGTAATGTTTGAATGTTCTAACGAAATCTTTAATTATACTGTAAGTAAAATTAAGAATCATTTTCTTTTATATTAGCTTGTAACTCTTGTTCTTGTACTTACTTTTGAATTTTGATCATTCAGATTGTGAATATTTTTTTTTGTAATCCTGTTTTTTAATTAGGTTTCCTGTTGAACAGTGTATTAAATAAGTAAATAAATCATTTAGTACATTTCTTAATTGTATTATTTATGCATGTACTCTTACTATTTAATTGGGTCTGGACCTGTTAAGTAATATAATAAATATTGAAATGATGGTACCAAATATTTATCCAACAACACGCGCAACATGAAACTCGCTTCTACATCACTGCCTTTAAAACAAGAACCCATCACCCAATTAACCATAAAAAAAAACAGTGAAATTAAAGAGCAGAAACAGCGGCATCAATTTAAAAATCATCTTTAATTTAATAATAATTTAACGCCCTTGATAATTACAACGTAATTACCACGTATTGAATTCTTAAACTGGTCCAAACAGGTGTTAAAATATTCGTACCAAATTGATTCATTAATTCAGTTTCCCGATCGGGAACCGGTTAAAATTTGTACCACTTGTATTGCTGTACAACTTGCATCAATTTAGAACGATAGATAATACGGTTGCTTTTACCTAAAACGGAGATAAACGGTTTGCCGTTTATCTCGAAGAGGTTTGTTTCATTTTGTTCTACTTCCGTAAAATAAAACCCTTGAGCTTGCTTCGGTGCTCTTTATATCTATAAATGAAACTATTCTTGCTACGTAGCAATACGAGGGATTCTTGAAAACATTTTAAGCAGCAATTGAGAAAAGTTATTTATTTAATATTTATTTTGAGAGATGAAAAAAAAATAATGATATTTATTTATTTACCAAAACTCCAACAGGCCTATTGGCCTTTTTACATGAGTAGTTTTCTTAACATAACAGCCAAATATATGTAATTTTATAACGTGATGCT